CTTTTAAAGTTGACCAATGGTTTAGTGAATGGAAAATGTGTAATTAATTTTGATTTGTTGCCTGTAGATTCCTCCAGCTCCTCCCAAACCAGATTTTGATGTATCTCGTGAAAAGCTACAAAAGCTTGGAGAAGGTAACAAGAGATAATGAGTGTGCTGGCTGAAATTATTCTTAGAATCTTATCCATGTAGGACTTGTGTAAGATCCTGTAGCATCTTATAGGATCCCCCTTTCAATCCCAAGTGAAAAACGAATGGGATCTTCTTAGTTTGTATCATAATAAGAATACAGGATGCTGTTTAGGAAACATTTAAATACATAAAAGAGTGCATGGAAGAATGTAAAAAAACTTGTTTAAGATCCTATATGTATTAATCAATAATAATCATTTATTTTCTCATTTAGTGTATAACAATGATTCAGAATTTTATCCATTCTAACAAGTGTTAAGTTCAAAAACAAAAGTATTAATATTACTAATTTATTGCAATTGAACAATGCAATATGTAAAGCTTAGAATATCTCAATGTAAAAGAGTCCTCAGTTCTCTTAATTCTCATTGATCTATGATGCATAATATGCTCAGGGCCAGATCCTGTAGGTTTTTTGGCAGGATCTCAACTTAGCATCAAGGTTATCAAGGTTCTATATAGGATCTTGCACAGGTTTGGATTGTAATTTATGTAACTTGTGTGATTGTAACTTGTTACAGTTTACAGTATATTTTCATGAAAAGTCACCCAGTGCTAGTATATGAAGAAGCTAGTCATGAAAGGGGATAAGTGATGATTTTGGTTGCTTTTCTTTTTTTTTGCTCCAAATTAGCTGAATTTTTGCATGTGGTCTTCAATGTAATAGAAAACCGTGGTCCTGTATTTTTGCCGCTGGTTTTTGCGGCTAGGAAAGCAAGTGGTTTTTTGCATACGCAATATCCCGAAAACGAAGCAAAAAAAAGTCACCCAGTGCTAGTATATGAAGAAGCTAGTCATAAAAGGGGATAGGTGATGATTTTGGTTGCTTTTCTTTTTTTTGCTCCAAATTAGCCAAATTTTTGCATGTGGTCTTCAATGTAATAGAAAAACGTGGTCCTGTATTTTTGCCGCTGGTTTTTGCCACTAGGAAAACCGAGTGGTTTTTTGCATATGCAATATCCCGAAAACGAAGCAAAGTTTAACAGAAAAACTATGGGACATTGCTAAACATACCTAAACAAAACTGCATGCGAAATTTGGAGCATTTTTGACAAAGTTCACTTTTGAGAAAAATACCTAATGCCTCTTTTCAGCCGAGCCCTTCAGATAAACGAAGCCAGGGCCTTTGTTATGATAAACGTAGCCAATCCTTTGTTATATTAAACCAAAGCGAGCCATTGTTATTAGTCAAAGTCTCACCTCGGTTTATTATAACAAAGGATCGGCGCAGTTTTTTATAACAAAGCCCGGTTTCGTTTATGTGAAGGGCTCAGTGGAAAATGGGCATTAGGTATTTTGCTCAAAAGTGAACAAAAAACCTTCAAATTTCACATGCGTTATTTTTTAGGTGTGTTAAACAATGTTTTGTATGTGTTTTTGCTGAGGTTTGCATTGTTTCTGAGACATTACGTATGCAAAAAACTTATA